TCAGATTTGAAAATGTGTAAACTTATATGTACATCTGCTTTTATTTAATTTATTATGTTTTTTAGATGTGATTGTCCGACTGGTTATATTGGTAAAAATTGTAGTAATTTAGATTTCTGTAACAGTGCTCCGTGCCCAGCTAACTCGAGATGTCAGAGCAGAATAGATGGGTATGAATGTAAGTAAACAAAATTACTTTGTTAGAAATATAGGGATTTAGATCTGCTAGAATTGCATTATAAGATATTTATATGTGGCAGTATTTCATTTTAAGAAAAGTAACATCAGTTTCTGTAGTTAGTTTGGTTTTGTAATAAGTTTCATAAAAAATACCAACATTCAATAAAAAAAATGTGTTTTCATCCAGTATCATAAAAATGTTTGTTACTATCTTTCAACTTTTAATTAATAAAAAAGGAAAGAGTAAAATTGATTGATAAAAGAAAAATCATACTAACCTTTTCACACAAATCGGTAAGATTAACTCAATAATAAAATAAAACTTGCCAAAGGGATTGAGAAATAATGATGTCTTGATGCAACTTTTATATATTTATTACAGGTATTGCCGAAGCTACCTTTAATGGTAGAAATAGTTTAGTGAAATATGAACCCAAAGTCCAGGACACAACTGCGTTGTCTATTCTCTCATTGTACCTACGAACACACAGTCAATATGCTGCTATTTTTTATCTGGAACATGGTGAAACATTCTTGAAATTAAGACTCGAGGATGGTAATGTACGGATGAACTACAAACTCAACGAAAGGATGCCAGGAACGCTGAAGTTTGATTCCAATTATCCTGTCAACACCGGCGATTGGTTCCAAATTGAGGCTGAGTTTCAAGTGGGAGAAATTGCTCTTAGAATACGAGAAAATGAAACGATTATGCTAGAAAAATTTGTCAGCGTGCCGAATCTAGATGTAGCTGCCATGATCAGAGATGGTGCCATGATTTTATTGGGTGGTTTAGATGTCGTCACGTATGCACGTGGCTGGGAGCAGCCATTTAAAGGATGTTTGCGTGATGTCCGAGTTGGTAAAATTCTACTGCCATTTTTCTCCGATAGTCTGTTTGTTAATAATACAAGCAAAGATAAATTTTTGGCTACAGATATTAGAATACAAGGAATAGGATGTGACAATGGACAGGCGTGTTTAAGAGGTCAATCGATGTGTCTTCATAACGCACAGTGTATCAATACTTGGAATGATTTTAAATGTGACTGCTCTTCTGGCTACGAAGGTAGCTACTGTCAGACAGATATCGATGAATGTACTTTGAATCCCGGTCAGTGTTCTTTAAATGGAAAGTGTGTCGATGGAATTGGATTTTCATCTTGTAGTTGTCGTAAAGGATATACAGGCAATAGGTAAGCTTATTTTTGTTTGTTCATTCAGGTAATTTAAAGTAACTTATTCATAAAATCATTTATTTGACTCTGAGTGATCACGTCTAAATCTTAAGGCCACTTGCAGATTTCGTCAAGGTCACAATATGTAAACAGCATTAGGGCATGTGAATGTTGCTGAGGGTTTTCATCTCATGACCTTGACAAAATTTGCAGGTGGCCTTAATATTTAGAAAAACGACTCTGAATATAGTTAAGCTGGTCTTAGAACACATACTGTGGTGTACTCCTTTAAAGTTACAATTTCATATTTTCTAAGAAAGTCAGAACATAATTATTTCTATGTCTTTTGCTCAATAGGTTGTCAACTCACTATTATTTACACCGGAAATAATAACACAATTACCTCCCAATTGCCTCCCTTGTTTTCTATTCTCCACCATGGAGTTGTTATCTTCAAACGTTGGAATTTGAAGATGAAAATGATATTTTTGCAAATTTCTCAACTGGCAATAGTAAATTATAGGATTAATAGGATAATTATTTAACAAGGTAGAACTGCTTATAGATACCATCTATTTTAAGGCTTTATTTTAATAAATTTTAAAAATATAACTTAAAAATATGAAATTGCAACTTTAAGGGGTCATCGCTCTGAACTGACATAATTATTTTTGTGTTACATTAATCTTCCCTTACACCATCGTTACGGTCTTATTATATTTCTATTCCAAATAAGGAGGCACGGTGGCTAAGTGGGTAAGACGCTGGCTAGCTAGCCTGGAGGTCGGGTGTTCGATCCCTGCATTGGTCGAGAAAGTTCATCAGGATTTTCCGACGTGGTTTCCCCTTGTCAGGGATGCAGAACGGAGGGCCTGACAAGGACAGCTGTCTAGTCGTTCGGATGGGACGAAAAACTGAGGTCTCATGTACACATTGGCATGCACGTAAAAGATCCCTTAGCAGTTGGAATTCGATATAAGAGTAGGCCATAGTGCCGCTGCCCGGGCAAAATTTCCCTCATAGCACACTGCATGGTCTATGCCTGTCTTCATTGGCCTAGTCGGTGCAGAACAGTAGGACGCTAAACCCCATTTCTTTATTCCAAATAAATAATATCCTTGTTTATGAAGACTTGTGGCCTTTATAAAATAAATAGTAGGAAATAACAAGTTGAATATATTTAAAAACCATTATAAGCTGTATTTATAAATGTTATGATATTTATTTATGTACATAATAAGTAAGTAAGTATATTATCTGAGTAGATATATCTCGTATACGTTATATATAAATTTAGAACAAGATGTCATCACATCTTTGAATATATTATAAGGGGTCATTCATCACATCTTTGAATTTATTGTTAGGGGGTCATAATTTACAACGTCAAATGATGTTACATCAGAGTTGTGAATTGTGATTATTATATTATAGTCAATTTAAAAATATTTTAAAGTTCAACAGAGACATATTATAGAGACAATATTCCAATAGTCAAATGATTTTACATCAGAGACGTATTATAGACACAATATTCCAAGAGTCAAATGTAAACGTTCAGTCTATATGTATTAAAAAATTAGTTTTATCATTAAGCATATTACGATCCAAAAACTATTTACATTGTTTAATCCAAACCAGTAACCAGTAATGCACGTTATGGCTTTCTAAAGTTGTCAATACTTTCAATTGATTTCATGGTGTGGTTGGATGGCCGAATGGTTAGCACATGAACATTGTTTCATAGGTCTGTCATTGAGTCAACTGGCGTGGTTTTGATTCCCTGGTTGTACGTGACAAGGAGTAGGGTCGCCTGTCCATCCTCGTGGGTTTTCTTCGGGTCCTCCGGTTTCCTCCCACGGCTAAAGACCCCTACTCGCAAGAGAATTATTGAAATAAAATTGAACCATATGTTAGTCCCAAAATGATCTAATTTGTGTCGAGTGGACTATAAACTCAATTTCTCTCTCTCAATTGATTTCATGATTTTAAAAGACTTGTTTGTATCTATGAACATCAAGCTGACATCTACTGAGAGATAAAGATCGGTGCTCGTAACAATAAAAAAAACTATTCTGAACTTACGATAAACATATCTTACATTGGTACTGATTGATTTTGATCATTTTTTGGACCAATATGGTTTTTGGTAAGGCTACTTTTTATTGTTTATCGACCATAAAAACAATATAAGATATTTGTCTGAAGGATGGGAACAGATCACATCCTACATGATCCGTGTTTTACACATCCTCAATGGATTCCCTTCAGACCATCAAATAAAAAAAGTAGTTTCTGCTGTCCATTTATTTAGGACAAAATATCAAAACACTGAAAGAAACTTTGATTTCTTTTTAAATTCTGTTTACACGTACATTGCATATGATCGTCAGCCGACCAATGTCCGATCTTCTGCTTGCTATACATGTATGTATGTGTGTAACAAGAGAGAGTTGTTGTAAGTATTTAGTTTGATTGACAGATGGTATAAAGTGACAGGTAGATGAGGTTGATTGACAGTTGTTATGGTAACCTAGATATTAAATTAACTTCAGATTATACAATAGAATTAACAGTATATTATATATATATATCTAAATCTGTAGGACTCTTTATTCTCAAACACTCCTGGTTTACCTACCAGGAAGTACAAGGTTCGATCCTGATTTGGCTAGTTTCGATGTCCTGGCAAGTAAGAGTGACTATTCGTTCAGATGCTACGAAAAACACATTTGCGCACATGTAAAAGAATCCTTGACAGTTGAAATTCAGGAATACAAGTTGGCCATAGCGCCGCTGCCTGGGCAAATTTTCCCTCATAACACACTGCATTGTGTATGCTTGCATTCATTAGTAGGACATTAAACCCCATTTCATTTCTCAAATGCTCTTGCTTCTCGGATTCAACCACAACAAATATTGATCTGAAGTTCTGGTCAGAATAGCGTCAGTTATTTAAAGTGTAGATTTCCTTTAATTTTTTTAGGCTGATTTAAAGGAAAAGAGTTCTGCATGCATTGAAAACTAGTCGATCTAAACAATATATCTCTTTAAATCATATTATACGATATAATAATATATATTTTTTTCCTGTTGACAAATTATTGATTTTTGTAACGAGGAAAGAAAATCGTTTAGATCTTATTTATCTGTTAATAATAATTCTCATTCATATAAATTATACGGATCACATATGCCACAATATTTCTGGAAACATTTACCTCTGCTTTACAATCATCATCCTAAAGTAACGCCCAGATTAACACAATAAACAAAGTTAAAATTAATCAATTTTTAATAAACATTTTCCTCTTTATAGTCCAACCTCGTGTGTTTTCTCTGTGTCCTCCGGTTTCCTCCCACTTCTAAAGACCCTTACACGCAAGTGAATTATTGAAATAAAATTGAACCATATGTTAGTCCCGAAATGACCTTGTTTGTGTGGAGTGGATGTTAAACCCCATTTCTCTCTCTTCTTTTTGGACCATTCCATGTACAAGTCCTGTACAGGTATGTGTATTTGAGACAAGACAAATAATTTGAAACACCCCTGTGAACCAGTAACAATGGTATGTTCCTATAAGATAAGCTAGGTAGAGTTGTTTGGTCAGTCTATATTGAAAGTGATTTATTAAGACCAGAGTGTCGTTTGACTAGCTGGTAGTCAGTCAGTGTCCTATATAGATCTACCTGAAGACAGGTAAACCTGGTCTAGTGGTGTATATATAAGATGGATACATATTTAACGACCTGTGGTTCCCGTCTATAAATAACTACAGGTATATGTATGTATGTACAGTGTGTGACACTGTTCATTTGACGAAGGATGATTTAAGTGTTGTTGGTGTTAATTTTGTGTTGATATGAATCTGTGGAAAGTGTTTACCTGTATTTTAATGTGAAATCCAGGTATATAACAAACTCGTTTATACCTATAACTGACAGTGATTGACAATTTTCTACAGGTACCTGAATATTTAAAATCTTGAGAGAGGGGGGGGGGGAATCATACAATTTATGGATGATTGTGGAATATTGTTTTGTGATCTCTAAATGAATTACTAAAATAAATCAGAAGTGTTATTAGATGTTCTTAACAAAAGGCATGCTCTTCCTCATACATGATACCCATGACTTAATACACATAAATGGATATCTGAAGATATAGTTAGTGATAGCGGGCTGATTGTATTCTGAAATCAAAATTATTTAGTTTATGAAAATTTGATAATAGTGTGTTCAAATGTGTTTTAAATTGGTCAAAGAATTTTCAATACAATGGTCTTCTAAATACTTAGAAACATTTTTACCGATATGAATCTTTGACGCCCTGCTCCTTGTACATGTATATTTATTCCTGTATGCTGTTTTAAAAAAATATATATTTCTTAAAGATACATTATGGGAGATTAGATAAAGAGCTGGCAGTTGTCACTATAATAGTTAAAATCTAAATAATGTAATGGGAGTTCTCACTATAATAGTTAAAAACTAGATAATGTAAAGGCAATTTGCTGAAAATTTCAGTCAAATTGATCCACTATGAACCGAGAATTAAGCGATTAATTTCGGCCTAGCCTCGATCATTATTACTAAAGTCGGTACAATTAAAAACATAGTCTCGATTTTCCATTTCATGATTAAATCATGAATGAAAGTTGAGCAGCAAATCGGATCATAATCCAGTAAATATCGCAGGCTAGCATTGACATCGAGATTTGATTATGGTCTGGATAAGTTAATTAATGTGTAATTAATAATTTAGTTAAGATTTCAGACCTGCAACAGGCAGATTTAGCTCTTGTATAATATATGTTTACGTAAGATTCATGTTGTGTATATTGTATAGTTTTAAAATAGTATATTACGTTTAAAGTTGACCTTTAATATTTAAACAGAGGTACTGTGTTGTAACAGGTAGTAGGTCTATATAAATACATATACACTAAGTGTCATTTAAAAGTCAGTTGATGGTTTTTAGTTGGTTATACATGTACAGGCTAGGTCTTGTCACATGAGCATCCTGTTGTATGATTATAGTGTTAATGTGAGATGGGATGGTGGATAGTTTATAGATGCATACATAAATCAACAAAAAATATATTAGGGTATAGATAAAACTGTGACTAATAAATGGATGTAACTTATTTTAAACAAACCTGAAAGAAAAAAAATGTACTTCATAGAACTGTTACATGCCCATTTCGTGTTTAGTGATTTGCCCTAGACTGATCTTGACTAAATAAGAAAATAGCCCTACGTTTTAGGTTAAACATACATTATGCAAGAGCTAAATCTGCCTATTGCAGGTATTTCTTTAGGCCTTAACGGTTATCTAAATTATTAATTAGACATTAATTAACTTATCCAGATCATAATCAACTCCCGATGCCATCTTATGTATCTTATTTTCATTAGATTTGAATCCGATCTGCTGTTGAACATCCGCTGATAATGCAAAAATGGATAATTCAGACTTTGTTAATTATCGTGACAGTGGTAACAATGACAATCGAGGCTACATTAATTTTGAAAATAAGGTTTTTATTGGCTTAGATGGAAGAAGTTCCATTTACATTATCTAGTTTTTAGATATTATAGTGAGAACTGCCAGCTCTTTATCTAATCGGGGGGTTGGATGGCCGAATGGTTAGCACGTGCGCGCGCTGTATCATAAGGCCTGTCATTGAGTCAACTGACGTGGTTTCGAATCCCAGGTTGTACGTGACAAGGAGTAGGGTCGCCTGTCCAACCTCTTGGGTTTTCTCCGTGTCCTCGGGTTTCCTCCCACAGCTAAAGATTCCTACACGCAAGCGAATTATTGAAATAAAATTAAACCATTTGTTAGTCCCGAAATGACCTAGTTTGTGTTGAGTGGCGTTAAACCCCATTTCTCTCTCTCTCTCTCTCTCTCTCTCTCTCTCTCTCTCTCTCTCTTTATCTTATCTCCTATAATGTATGTTTAACTCTTTCACCTACATGATTATAGTTTCAAAGATAAGGGTGCACAGGTGAAATGATGACATCAGGTGTGATCATTGGTTAGTCCTGAATTGACCTAATGAAATGTTAAATGACATTGCTATGATATTTATTTCCCCGAGAAAGTTAATCAGGATGTTCCGACGTGGTTTCCCCTTGTCAGTGGTGCGGGACAGTGGGCCTAACACGGACAGCTGTCTAGTTGTTCGGATGAGACAGAAAATCAAGGTCCTGTGTATACATTAGAATGCACGTAGAAGATCCCTTGGCAGTTGGAATTCGATATAAGAGTAGGCCATAGTGCCACTGCCTGAGCAACATTTCCCTCATAGCACACTGTATGGCGTATGCTCATCTTCATTAGCCCAGTATAGGAGCAGAACAGTAGGATGTTAAACCCCATTTCATTTTCATTTCCATTCAATTTCTAAGCCCTCCAATGATCTAGAGAGTTGATTATGAGCTTGTCATGTGAATAAATGTCTAAATATAGCTCAGTGAGTAAGATGCTGGCCTTCTGCCCGCATTGGCCGAGAAGGTTCATCAGGATTTTCTGCTGTGGTTCATCTTGTCAGTGTTGCAGGACAGAGGGCCTGAAATTGTGTAAACTGAAAATAGATTTTATTTAAATTTTGAAAACAGCTCAGCTGAAAAAAGTATCGAAAATGAAATGAAATGGGGTTTAATATTCTGCACCACTGACAAGGGGAAACCAAGTCGGAAAATCCCGATAAACTTTCTTGGCGAAATATATATCAAAAATAATTCAAAACAGTGAATAAAATGTAGGTCAACTTTAAAATGATGTAATTGTGAGATAGCGACCCATGTAGCATATTGAATTTAATACCTGTGTATATCGACCTCTTGGATCTCTAAATACAGTGACGCGTTCATTTCTTGGTGTCTCGTTTTATCATAAATATTTAAAAACAAATAAAATATCAGGTAGATTTATACGTCATAAAATACAATAAAATGACTAAAAGAAATAAATTACTTAAAAGGATAAAATTACTTGAAAGATTACTGTTAACGGGGATTAAAAATTGACGTATTAAATAACATTTAAATGTTTACCTCGTAGTGTATTAAGAAATTATAAAATCTTTAATTTATGTATACTTGACAACACAGGACATGTTTAAAAACCCAATGTGGCAGAAGGCCAATAAATATATTCTTTATTTTAATCTGTATCGATTATACATGACAGGTGGTTTCGAATCCCCGGTTGTACGTGGCAAGGAGTAGGATCGCCTGTCCAACCTCGTGGGTCTTCTCCGGGTCCTCCGGTTTCCTCCCACTGCTAAAGACCCCTACGCCCAAGCGAATTATGTAAATAAAATTAAACCATATGTTAGTCCCAAAATGACCTAGTTTGTGTCGAGTGGACGTTATACCCCATTTCTCTCTCTCTCTCTTTTACATGACAGGATTAGGATCGTCTGTCAAACCTCGTGGGTTTTCTCCGAATTATTGAAATAAAATCGAACCATGTGTTAGTCCCGAAATAACCTACCCTCTCTCTGTTCGTGTCCTGTATTAAGGATTAAGGAGGAATGATTATTCCGTTTAGCAGCTCAAGAGACTCCTGAAATATTTGACCAAGGAAATCGGCTGGTTAATAAAATAGGCTTCGATATCGATAAAGTTGTGGATTTATTTGAAAGTAAACATTGTCACCTAAAGAACAATATTTCTGATATTTTCCTGGCTTCTGACCAGAGTTAACCCAGTTGCCTTTATGAAAATTGTAAAATATTAGTGAATTGATTGGTTATTAATTTTGGTGTATGTCATTGAGGTTAAATATTCATACATACGAGTTGATTGGCGGGTTATTCGTCATAATTGATCATTTAGATTGACAGTCCCCAGAATTCAAAATATCATTTTTTTTATTTTGAGACATACAGGCAGTGGCGGACTGGCCAGGTTGTCAGCTTGCCCACTGGGTTGGATGGCCGAATGGTTAGCGCATGCGTGCTGTATCATAAGGTCTGTCATTGAGTCAACTGGCAGGGTTTCAATTCCCTGGTTGTACATGACAAGGAGTATAGGGTCGCCAGTCCATGGGTTTTCTTCGGGTCCTCCCACTACTAAAGACCCCTAGTGCAAGTGAATTATTGAAATAAAATTGAACCATGTGTTAATCCCGAAATGACCCAGTGGACATTAATCTCCCTCTCTCTCTCTCTATCTCTCTCTCTCTCTCTCTCTCTCTCTCTCTCTCTATGTCTTTCTCTCTCTCTCTCTAACTAATAAAATGACACTTTAACTTTAATATTTAAATACATTATTGAAAATGTGAAATTTTAAGATTAAAAATTTTTCAAATCACCTTACAATGAGATGTGCATACATGTATATGTGTACCTTTCTTAAATATTTAATATTAAACCTAAAAGATGATGGTCACTTCTAATGTAATTGATGTATCAGCATGGGATGCACAAACACGTACATGTATGTGTACATAGATGTTTAATATTTAATCTAAAAGATGATGGTCCCATGTAAATACATGTATCAGTAGTGTGTAAAATATACATCAGTGATGCCTGAGATGGACAAGGAAGGTGTGGTCAAAAGGTCACTAGGTCATTGTCTAGTGTGTATTTATCTATCTGTACTTGACTCAAACTATAGCTACCTGTGATATTTATCTAGAATCTTTTAACAATGGTGGACTTTAACCAAGGCAGTTTTTAAGAGCGCTATTTGTTAGTTGTGAATGATCAAGGAACGTAGTGAGTAATTGACTTCGAAATCCAATTTTAAATTTGATTTGAATGAAAGGGTAGGGATGTAAAGTGGTATACAGTATAAGGCTGTTGTAACTTTCATCTTGTATCTCCTCTTTCCCCAGGTTCACCCCTCTTTCCCCCTGGTGACTTGCTCCTTCCTCCTTTTGTCCCCCATCCTCCTTTGTCCCCTGGTGTCCCCCCTGCCCCCCCCCCCCCTGGTTTCCCCCCTCCATCCTTTTTTTTCCTCAAGGTATTTCCTATTTTCCCCCTTGCTGTTCCCTACCTTCTTTTCCTTATTTTAGAGCATCTTATTTTGTTTTTAAGAATTTCAAAAAGCAATCGCTGGCTCATTGATTAGATTTCATGTTTATTGGAATGACAATCTCTAGTTGCTTAAAATCTATACTTTCAGTTCATACATGTATGTCAAAATAAGAATTTTAATCATATATAACTTGTCACATAATTATTTGTGGGGTTAAAGGGCCGAATGGCTGTATCATAAGGTCTATCATTGAGTCAACTGGTTTAAGGCTTTTCGTGGTACCTTGAATTTTACATCCACTTTCACCAAGGGTGATATGGTAGACAAGACTATTACCTGCGTCAGACGAAACTAAGAGGATTATTAGAACTGTCTATTTAACCAATAAATGGAGTTGTTTCAATGGGAGCATGTACAATGTAATTAAGCTAAAGATAAGAACTTGATTAATTAATATGTCTGTTTGAAGGTTGTAACACTACCAGTGAAACTAAGGTCATATTAATATACTGTTCAAAATGTCTGACTTACTTATTAGGGGTTCAACTTCTGGCTAGCATTCAGAAATAATTAATAAATTCATTATCAATCTTCAAATTGATTATAAAAGTTTACTTAAAGATACATTATATAACAGCTTAATCTGCCTAGTGGAGATTTTTATATTGGCTTCAAATGTTATATAAATTATTAATTAAGGCTAGCCTCCAGATCCATTCAGTTAATTTGATATGTACGTTTGTTTGTGATTTCTGCGTATTGTAGTCTTGTCCATAGATTTGTTTTGTGTAATTATTTGTGGTGCAGTCCCCCTGCACTTACTAGTAGAGTAATTGTTATTCACATGACAAGCCTAGACCATCGGATGGAGGAGATGTAAACGGATTGAAACATGGTGGCCATTTAATGATTTAATTTGAAAATGGTGAATTAAGACTTCAGTCTTGATTAACAAGTACTGTTGCTATGATAATAAACAATCTATGTCACATCTCGTCAACACATCAAACGGTGATACCTTACTAAAGTAATTTGAGTAAAATTTTCAATATATTCATTTTGCATTATCTATTTTTGAACTATTACAGCAAGAATGGTCAGCTCTTTATCTAAATCTTAGATTTTGACTCTTTAATAAATCAATTCATGGAGACACGAGGAAGTTTTATATAGGTTGGTTAAATCTTTGTGCAGTCATAAGTGAATAAAATATAGGTCGAAGATTATTCTGTCAATGAAATACAAGTTACAAAGAATGTATTGACGTATATTGACAAATAATGATAATATATTCACATAGCTTCGCTAAATTCTTCACATATATTTCCTTATATGTTTATCTTGTATACCCTAAGAAAAATATTAATTCAGATTTTTTATTGCATAAGTCTAGGTTTTCGGGAATTGACTGGGTTATAAGCTTAACTAGTATCCTAATAAAAAAATAAATTCAGGTTTTTTTTATTGAGTAAAGACCTGATTTTCGTGAATATTCTGGGTTTTAAGTGTTTGCCTGACATTTTGCTAAATTTATGATTTACCAAAGATTATATAACTTGATGAATATGTTAAAAATGATCCTAAATTTTACTTTCTTTCACGACTTTAACAGTTTAAAAATATATTAATTTAGTGGGAAATTAATTTCCGCTTTACTACATTGAGTATACTGAATTGACCTGGATGGTTATGTTTTTAATAAATCCACAAATTCTAAGTCAAAAAGTTAAGTTAGACCACATGAAATTTGAACATGAAACCTCAAAAACCTTAAGAATGTTGTATTTTGTTAATATTTCGAACAAAACTATTTTAAGGTTGTATATTTTTATCGTCTGCTTGTCCAGGTGTTTACATGTCATATTTTAGTTCACCGAAAGTTCGTAAAACTTCAGCGACTGTTGACGTGACTCAAATATTTTACCTGGTATAATCTTGTGTAAATGGTTGAAACTTCATCTATATTTTTTCTGAGAAAGATTTAAATTTCAAGTGGTTACATATCAAAAATCGTTATAAGATTTCCAAATGGCATCACTCTACAAACATTTAGTGGAAATTGAGAGGTTTTTTTTTTAGTTTGATTGTTCAAATTTCATTATAGTATTCGATAATTCTTTATTTCCCTTTTTGTTTTAATCCATAATACACCAAATAATGTTGTATAAATTAATTGATCGTGTCAGCTAATTTTGTTTTTTAATCTGAACTGAAATTAACAAATAGTGGATTCTTTTTTTAACGCAGGGGGTTGGATTGCCAAATGGTTAGCCTGTGCGCGTTGAGTCAACTGGCGTAGTTACGATTCCCCAGTTGTACATGACAAGGAGTAGGGTCGCCTGTCCAACCTTTTAGGTTTTCTCTGGATCCTTTGTTTTCATGGGGGTTGGATGGCTGAATGGTTAGCGTGCGCGCGCTGTATCATAAAGTCTGTCATTGAGTCGACTGGCGTGGTTTCGAAATCCCCGGTTGTACGTGACAAGGAGTAGGGTCGCCTGTCCAACCTCGTGGGTTTTCTCCGGGTCCTCCGGTTTCCTCCCACTGCTAAAGACCCCTATGCAAGCGAATTATTGAAATAAAATTAAACCATATGTTAGTCCCGAAATGGCCTAGTTTGTGTCGAGTGGACGTTAAACCCTATCTCTCTCTCTCTCTTTCTATTCATTTTAAAAAAAAAATCTATTCAAAACAATTGAAAGTGAGTTTATATCCTGTTTGTGGAGATTAGTCAAGAACCTGAATGAACCGTCGTCCATTTTTCGGGCAATATATTTCCATTTTTCGGGCACAAACATCAGAGAATGAGACCATATATCATAGAAATATAATTGTAAAATGAAATCACTCGCTTTTGAATACTATAATCCTAAGACCTTGCATAATAACTTTAGTGGAAAACTTGTTTTAGTTAATGATTCATTCATTCTGAAAATTCTCCCCTCAACTGAGTTTTATTATTATTCTATAAATATGTCAATATGAAGTTTTATTGTGAATTAAATACTCTATCTTACAGATAACCTTGTCATTATATAAATCATGATATATTTTACTGGGAATAAAACTCTTATTTGTTTTACACAACTCATAATTTTAGAATACCAAATATGGGATAGGCAGGGTGTAACACTGTTACCTCATATTATTAGATAAATATCTTGTCAGTAGTATTTATGGATTCGTTGTTGTATCATAAGGTCTGTCATTGAGTCAACTAGCATGGTTTCGATTCCCCGGTTTCCTCCCACTACTAAAGACCCCTACACGCAAGTGAATTATTGAAATAAAACTGAACGATATGTTAGTCCCAAAATGACCTAGTTGTGTCGAATGGACGTTAAACCCTCCCTCTCTCTCTCTCTCTCTCTCTCTCTCTCTCGACTTTAGTAGAATTTATGCTGCCATCAATCTATCTTATTAGATTTTGGTGTCCTAAAATTATTTAAAATGTTGTTGTACATGTTTTGCTGCCTGGTAACCTATCTTAATAATCTGGGGACCAATGTGCATTATTGTAAGATTACTTTTTATTGCCCATCTCGAATGTTTTGAAAGATTTATTGGTCGGATTACTTGTGTCAATCCCCTGCTTACACTCGGTAATATTCATATTATTGTTTAGCAAGATGGCCCATTTACAGTTTTAATGTTTTTTGTTTAGTTAAGCGTGTCTAAAGTTCGATGTCTCTTAATTTAACTAAAAGCTTTACTTAACCTGAATTTTGGGTTGGTTATGTTTGACATATCATTAATCTTTTAAAAGAATGTTCCGAGTACACATACACCATTGTAGAGATTGTAAACTGTGGGCTTTTGACCTTGTATGGAGATAAATTGTTACAAATATTTCAGTTATGTAAGTTTTCATTGTCTGGAAGGTGACGTTTTTAATTTTATATGCTTGAAGGAAATTTTGTGTTAAAAAGATGATACAGTTCTCTCTGTGTTTTGTTTGTTTTTGTGAAGAATAATATTTTTGAAACAGTGTTACAATAATATTATAAATGTGTAATTCTGAATTATTTTAAAGCCTGTGCTTTTTTAGTTTATTTTCTTGGATTATCTTGAACCCAATGGTTTTTAGTTTATTTTCTTGGATTATTTTGAAGCTGGTGGTTTTTAATTTATTTTGTATATATTTTGTGGATTTGAAATTTAATTGTAGATAAAGTTTAACTTTTATTCTTAAAAAAGATTAGGACAGGAGTGTTTAAATCAAAGGGATTAGTAATCGTTGTGTTAATCTCTTAATCCATACATTTTAGCAGGTAATCAATAATAATCAAACTACTATCCTATAAGAAGTTCAATCTAGTGAAAAGAGGATTATCTAATTAATAATCACTTAGTTTTAACTGGAAGCAAGTTGAAACGCGTTTAATAGTGGAGATTAATTAGAAACATTCAATTTAAATTTAATCATTTGATAAGCAGTTGATGATTTATATAGTTACCTAGAGTTACACAAGCTGACTAAATGTCATTGAAAAGTTCAAGTCCATGGCATGTGATAAAAACTTGAAACAGAAAACTTTGTGTAGTGAACTCATTAATATTATTTCAATGACATTCAAAGCAATTTTGGAGTAGAGAATAACCTATGTACAAAGACAAAGCTGAACAGTAATTTAATTTTATGATTTTGTGAACTTTAAATCTGAAAATCTTACTTCATATTTTGTATTTTTCATCAAAAATACATCTGTATTGTGGCTGGAAATTAACCGAAGTATAATTTTATAAATTTTGTGCTCTAGATGTGATAGCGTGACATCGTAGGTGACCTCAGTGATTCTGACCTTTGACTTATCTTGAGATTTGGTATATGTGATGTGTCTACTCTGCATTTATTGGTGATATTTATAAATACAAAAATATTTATAAAATGTTAGTTATATGAATGTACCATATAATTAAGAAGTGATATTAGATGTTCTAAAGAGAACCATGGATAAACCGGGAATATTTCATCGTTTTATAATAATTGGAATAACTGTTTACTATTATTTATCTCTGCCTTCACCAATCAGCTGTCAGACGGATATTAACTTCTGTAAGAATGATTCATGTGAAAATGGTGGCAATTGTTATGAGAAGGAAACAGATTATGGATGTAATTGTTCTAATGAATGGACGGGAAGAAACTGTAACATTTTGGTAAGTAAAAATCTTAATACATCAGCACAATACAATCTGATTGAAATACAAATCTATATTTCGTTTCATTCACAATTCTGTGCACCTCATGCCAAAAACTCGCTGTAACAGACGGTTTCATCGACTAATCCCCTCATATAATCCAGAAAGTGGGTTATATAGCAATGTTCGTTTACGTTTTCGTTTTCGTATCCTCTAACACGCGGTTTCGCAATCCGACCTACGATAATAGCTAGATGGTGTTAATTTCCACTCCATGAACTTCTCTGTCTATGCAAATTTTTCAATCGATTTTTTGGCAGATGTACAACAAATCAAGCAGAATATTGCTGTTGAGCACATTCTACGAACTCTAAAAAATGAACAATATACACAAAGCCTCGAAAAATGGTGGAAAATTCAATATATGAGACAAGAAACATATTCGTTTGCATACCTACGTAAATCCAGCTCCATACGCTTAACATTTTTCACTGGCTGAACACTCATTACGGATTGACGTCACAAGTACACACGAATCGATGACGTTTTCGTTTTCGTATTCGTTTTTGTACCGATGCGAAAGATCCCTATTATGCCATAGGCTCGTAAATGCACTATGGAAATCTGTGTTTATAGTTATATTGAGTGTAGTAAAAGTTTGTTTATAACTTTTATCATAGTATCACAACAGCCACCACCACCCTGGTAAAATTCCCTAACTATTATACTTCATCTTGTAAGTGATAAATTCCCTGTATGGCTTAAACTTGTACTGTCTATTCCTAGTTGATTTTTGGAATTTCTGTTTTCCCCAAATTTTGTTCAATTTTATATGCTAGGCAGGTTGTGCACGTGATAAAAAATGTTGTAATCCAGTAAATTTTAAATAAATTTTAAAAACTGCTACAACTATGAATGAATACTGTTTAAATGACTGACCATACTGTGTGACTGTTATCAAGTTTTTCTAGGTACACGGAGCCCTACTCTTCTCCTGTCTTCACAGAGAATTGTGCGCTAATTTCTTTTCGCTACTTTTGTTGTTTAGACCATGTGACACTTTACACTGCTTAAGATTTCCAACCTTGGGGGTTTTCTCCGGGTCCGCCGGTTTCCTCCCACTGCTAAAGAAATAAAATTAAACCATATGTCAGTCCCGAAAAGACCTAGTTTGTGTCGAGTGGATGTCAAACCCCATTTCTCTCTCTGTGGTTAAGATTTGAATTAATGATGAAGTAACAAGATTTTAGATTGTTGATCGAAAATGAAATTCTTATTTTCTTATGCCTTTACAGGTGAATAGTTCCTGCAATGATGTTCCGTGTAAAAATGGTGGATCTTGTCAGCCGATCAACCTTACCACAAGTTCAGGGGTACGTTTAAAAGTTTTTATTTCATCTTTAAGAATCAGCTAGTTTTCCTTGTTTCAGATGAACGATTTGGGTTTAGAATTCAATCTTTAAAGAGAACTGCAGCCATAGCCATTTGTTTATAATTTATTTATTGTTTTATTAAATATTTTTTGAAAATGTACAAACTGAAAGGAAAACATTGTTCAGTTGTATCAGCGACTTGATAATTACAACGATCACTTGTTTTTATACGCCCACATTGAAATGTGGTCGTATATTGTCGTCACCCCCGTCCGTCCGTCCGTCCGGCTAAAGTTAATATCCGAATGACTCTAAATTTATACACAGTGTTTAAGGTCATGAGACGAAGAAGCCTATGGATTTTCAGCGATTTCCAATTATTACTGCCAGAGTTATGGCCCTTGATCACTTTGAAAAATCTTGTGGACGCTCTAGAGGCTAAAGTTAATATCCGATTGAGTGTAAATTTATACACAGTGTTTAAGATCATGAGACGAAGAAGTTTATTCATTTTCAGTGGTTTTTGATAATTACTGCCAGAGTTATGGCCCTTGATCACTTCAAAAAATCTTGTAAATGCTCTAGAGGCTAAAGTTAATATCCGATTGACTTTAAATTTATACATAGTGTTTAAGGTCATTAGACGAAGAAGCCTATTGATTTTCAGCGATTTCCGATAATTACTGGCAGAGTTCTGGCCCTTGATCACTTTGAAAAATCTTGTGGACGCTCTAGAGGCTAAAGTTAATATCCGATTGAGTGTAAATTTATACACAGTTTTTAAGATCATGAGACGAAGAAGTTTATTCATTTTCAGCGATTTTTGATAATTACTGCCAGAGTTATGGCCCTTGATCACTTCAAAAAATATTGTAAATGCTCTAGAGGCTAAAGTTAATATCCGATTGACTTTAAATTGATACAGAGTGTTTGAGGTCATGAGACAAAGAATCATATTGATTTACAACGATTTCCGATAATTACTGCCAAAGTTATGGCCCTTGATCACTTTTAAAAACCTTGTGACCCTCTAGAAGCTAAAGTTATCATCCGATTGACTTCAGATTCATACACAGAGTGTAAGGTCTTGAGACAAACAAGTATATTGATTTTCAATGAATTTTTATGACTTGAACAGCTAAATCCATGATGTTAAAAGTTTCCTATACTAAACATTAGCATGGGGCAAAACTTTATAAAAACCAAACAAATTCTAATGGTTTTCTGATAATTACTTAATGAGTTCTTACTCCTAATCAGATTTTAATGTATTATAAATGTTTCATTACCGAAAAAAGTAAAAATATGTGACAACTCTTGTTGACTGCCCGGACGAGTTAGCTGCTGTGGGCGTATGTTTCATTGCCTGGCAACCTATCTTTCTATTTTGTCTCCTGTCAAAATTGTGCAGAACTGATTTTATTGCATATCAGTAAAACTAAAACGTAGCGTAGTAGATACATGTATTTAATATGTTTTTAAGTAAAATCCCAGTTACTGTGTTTTGTCAAAGAGATCTCTGGTTACCCCAAATATATGTCAAAATGACCCCTACCCCTGCCCCTACCCCTACCCCCACCCCCACCCTCACCCTTTAAAGATACATTGTTTCAAGAACCTGGCAAACCCCCTCCGACAAAAATTCCTGGATCCGCCCTTGTATCTCGTACAAAATGTAGGCTTATGTTGCCTGGCAACTACTTGTTGATCTAACTAGGCAAAAACACGAGAGTACAAGTAACTCATTGTATACAATTACCCCTCCTAAACGTGTATTTTTTATGAATTAATTTGAAATAAATGATTTTTTTTTTATTTCTACAAGAGTTATGTTTTTTTGCTTTTCAGCTGATTGAAAGTTTTAATTGTTCATGTATGGATGGTTATCAGGGTCCAACCTGTGAAGATATACTAGATTTATGTGTAGATGTTCCGTGTTTTAACAACGCAACATGTAACTCAACACCATCTAACTATCAATGTACTTGTCAGCCAGGTAAGTTAAAAATAAACCTTATTAAAATCTCAATGAGCTCGATCGAAAAGACGAAATGAATCGTTTACCATAAGTCAACATACATTATGCAAGAGCTATCAATCTGTCTATTGCAGGTCTTTCTTTAGGTCTGAAATGTTATCTAAATTATTAATTAGACATTAATTAACTTAACCAGACCATAATTAACTCTCGATGGCATCGCTAGCCTGCGATATTTACTGGATGAGGATCCGATTTGATGCTCAACTTTCATTCATGATTAAATCATGAAATGGATAATTGAGACTATGTTTTTTATCTTGCCGACTGTAGTAATGATGATCGAGGCTAGGCCGAAAATTCAATCGCTAAATTCTCGGTTCAAAGTGGATCAATTTGACTGACATTTTCAGCAAATACCCTTTATATTATCTAGTGTTTAACTTTTTTTGTGAGAACTGCCAGCTCTTTATCTAATCTCCCATAATGTATATTTAAATGCTATTCAAAAGATATCTGTTTTTGAGTGTTAGTTTGATATTATATATTATAGGTTTTACTGGTGATAGATGTGAAACTAATATAGATGACTGTACATCATCTGGTTGTGTTAACGGTGATTGTCAAGATGGCTTAAATAATTATTATTGTAACTGTACCGAAGGTAATTATTTTAAAACCCTCCCTCTCTCTCTCTCTCTCTCTCTCTCTCTCTCTCTCTCTCTCGAGATCGATTGACCACCAGAGTATTGGACCAGTTCAGACAGAAGTGATCTAGACATAGCTCCCCTTTAGCTGTGGCATGTCCAAACTACACACATTTCTAAATACACAAGAACTTGCCAGATTACAGGTAGATGAAAAAATGGTTGGAGTGGTATATATATATATGCTGACCCACAACCCTTGATGTATTGCCAGGAATTCATATAAAATCTCATTCAAGGGTATACTGTCAGATGTGTCTACTTTAGGACTGATATCTGTTTAAATGCACTGGGTATCTTATAAATTAGGTTTAAGGGTTAAAAAAAGTCTTCATGTATAAGCATTGATTTAAGTAGCAGAGTTGGATGGTTATCTTGTGCGCTTTGTATCATAAAGTTTGTCATTGAGTCAAGGAGTAGGGTCACCTGTCTAACCTCATGGGTTTTCTCCGGGTCCTCTGGTTTCCTCATACTGCTAAAGACCCGTACGCGCAAGCGCATTAATGAAATAAAATTGAACCATATGTTAGTCCTGAAATGTTCCAGTGTGTATCGAGTGAAATTAACAGTACTATTGAAGACAGTAAATGAGATATATTGTGTTATATAATTAGTATGTGTATTATATTTTTAGGGTGGACAGGTAAATATTGTAATGAAGATATCGATGAATGTAATACGACTACACCTTGTCAACAAGGTGTCTGTATAAATACACCTGGTAGTTTCTATTGTAACTGTAACGGTACTGGATATAATGGTACGTTCAAATAGATTTCATTTCATCACAAATCATTTCATCATCACAAATTGATCTTTGAAATGATTTCATCACATATAGATCTTTGCTATGATTTCATCACAAATTGATCTTTGAGATCATTTCAACCCAAATTGATCTTTGAAATAATTTCACCACAGATAAGAGAAGGAATTATGAAAAGGGCAAATGATATTTCGTAACTGTTGTCCGAACTAGCCCTGTTGCAGAAGGGGAAATCCCCAAATTAACACCACAGTTTGTGACAATGTAATGGAGTTTTAATAAGCTAGATATCTAGAAATGAGATTAATCATGTTTTTTTTCATGGGGTTATTTGAAGTTAAATTATTAGATTAATCAGACCATGTTATGTAGGTCTTCTCCAAAAGATATTTATACATTGTTTCAGTCTGATTAAAATACACATCTATATTTCGTTTCGTTTTTTTTATAATTTCGATGGCCTACACTACATGAAGATCTGACCGGTTGTAGTGGAAAGTCGCATCAGGGGTCATACGAGCGACTTTTGACCCTATGACATCAGACATTTAATTAACCAATCAGAGTTGACGTTTCTAGAGGTTTACCCACAGTTCAATGCACCTCATGCCAAGTACTCACCATAACAGACCGTTTCATTTGCTAATCCCTCACATCAAGCAGAACGCTTGTTGTATAACAACTCTTCTAGATCCTAGTGTAGTAAAGACAAGTAAAACAAAATTTTGAACTATAAAAAATGAAATAAAATAGGATCTTTGTTTTAATCATATTGATATTGTGTGGACACAAGATAATATTTATATGTGTTGTGGGTAAACGAAATATTTACAATTTTACGTGTTTATATTTCTATTATGTTTATTATTTTTAGGTACAAATTGTGCCGACGAGGTTGACGAATGTTCATTGGTTCCACCGCAGTGTAAGAACGGAGCAAATTGTACGAACACAGTAGGCAGTTATAACTGTAGTTGTACGCTGGGATATACTGGAGACGACTGTGATATACCAGATTGTAGTGCCAACCAATGTGAAAATAATAGTACATGTATAGTTAGCGATCAAAAATGGATGTGTCAATGCCTGGAATATTATTATGGTTAGTATTTCCTTTTTTATTCCTTTTATCAAAAAGCGATTCCCCGGTTGTACGTGACAAGGAGTAGGGTCGCCTGTCCAACCTCGTGGGTTTTCTCCAGGTCCTCTGGTTTCCTCCCACTGCTAAAGACCCCAACTCGCAAGCGGATTGTTGAAATAAAATTGAACCATATGTTAGTCCCAAAATGATCTAGTTTGTGTCGAGTGGCTGTTAAACCCTTTCTCTCAATGTGCATAATAAAATTTTATAAAGAAGGAGCATACCCTGCCTCATGTATGATACAGTTTTTAAACATTATTTTTTTGTTTTGTGTAAAAGAACCCTTGGTAGTTGAAATTCGATATAAGACTAGGACATAGTGCTGCAGCCCAGGCAAGATTTCCCGTCTTCATTAGCCCAGTTCGGAGCAGGACAGTAAGGACGTTAAACCTTGTTTGATTTGATTATATTTTGTTTTGTGTATAGGTGATCAATGTGAGATAGCGGGACCATGTACATATGGTTATTGTGATGATATTAATACAGACACCTGTCAACAAGATGAAATAACTATGAATTATACATGTGTCTGTAACCAAGGTAAATATTCATCCTAAACAAGAATTTCTTTCACATTTTGAAAATGCTACACACTATTCAACCCAGGCTTGTCACGTTATTTTCATCCGTCGATGCCTATAAATATCCAGCCTTTAGAATATTTCTTATATGTTTGAATGTCAAGTACAGTGTTCCTGTAAATTAAGTGAATGGTAATGGATTTATTGAGAATTGGCATATATAATAATATAGGGAAAGAGTGTGCAAAGACCAATATGTAGCAGTTACCATTTTTATTTCCTTTTTATACACCCACATTTTCATGTGGATGTATATTGTCATCGCCCCTGTCCGTCCGTCTACAGATACTCTACAGGTCACAGTTTTTATCCGATTTTGATGATACTTGAAATATAGCTTTATTTCCTAAAGATTACGGTTACTTTTGATATTGGCATGACCATAACTTCCTGGATTATGGCCCCTGATTGTATGAAAAATCTCAGTTTTCTTTTAGCCTTACCTGGCAAACTATATTTATATAAAACGTATGATTATTCCAGGTTGGGAAGGAGAGAATTGTACCAAGGATATAGATGAGTGTGTGGATCTATCACCTTGTTTAAATGGTGCTACCTGTAATAATTTAAACGGATCATACACCTGTGATTGTATACCAGGTTATACAGGAAATAACTGTGGATCAGATATTGATGAATGTCTAACCAATACATGTTTAAATGGTGGAACATGTAATGATTATTTAAATTATTTTAACTGTACTTGTACTGCTGGTAAGTAGTTTGATATTACCTGACAGGTGTAAAGATTTGTAATTAATCCACTGTAACCCCATTCTACTTTTTCGTACAATGTTCCCTCGGTAGTTTGATATTACCTGACAGGTGTAAAGATTTCTAATTAATCCACTGTAGCCCCATTCTACTTTTTCGTACAATGTTCCCTCGTTAGTTTGATATTACCTGACAGGTGTAAAGAATTGTGATATAAAATGGTGCAATGAAATTTGTTAGTTATATGAATACAAGACGTTGTATAGTGTATGTGATAGAACTGGTTGGACACGTTCCAAATATAATTTTAACTCAGAGATCATTGCTAGGATAGATTAGTTATAAAGCTTCCAAGAAAGGGAAGTGACGAAGGTGTTTAACCAGTTCTATCACATATATGATAATGACTGACACCAATATTGTCCTTTAATGTAATGTCACAAATCTTATGTAATATTGCATGTTGTTATATTTATCAGGTTATATGGGCCTCAACTGTAGTAAAGATATTGATGAATGTTTGTCGACACCGTGTAAAAACAATCAGCCGTGTATCAACTCTGATGGAAGCTTCTCCTGCAACTGTAGCCCAAATTATCTCGGAAATCTGTGTCAGCACGATAATCCATGTGACATTGAAACCTGCCAAAATGGAGGATTATGTAAGACTAATGTAACAGAAGACAATAATTACGTGCCGTTCTGTGAATGTGTGAATGGATTTGAAGGAGCTCGATGTGAAAGAGCTGTAAGTCAACTTTGTTTTTTTTTAAATTTAAAATACTAGGTATCTTGTTAAACCTTTAGCACTTGGTATATGTATATATTGACTACACCCTGTTCCATCACGTCACGGCTGTAATTTCACAATTTGACCAGCTGCTCAGTTTTTGTCCTATTTTCTTTACCTTAGATAAAAAATATGATTTTTCCAAGAACTATGACAATCTTCACCATTATTCTATTTTTTAAATATTTTGGAACATTAAAACTATCAAATAAGCATATTATGTGTCTGGTCAGTTTCACTAACAGTCGATCAAGACTGATCAATTTGATTGAATCAAGACGGGGACTGACAAGGACAAATGTCTAGTCATTCGGATGAGACAAAAAAAATGAGGTCCCGTGTATACGTTGGCATGCACATAAAAGATCCCTTGGCAGTTGGAATTCAATATAAGAGTTGGCCATATAGCCGCTGCCCAGCCAAAATTTCCCTCATAGCATACTGTATGGTGTATGCCTGTCTTCGTTAGCTCAGTCGGAGCAGAACACTAGAACGTTAAACTCCATTTCATTTTATTTCTGAATCAAGAGCCCTGCATCACTCACCTTTTTTTTTTTTACATTTTTTACAAAGTTTTGTTTCGCATATTACACTGTTGTTTGTATATTTTTCAGGATCCTTCAAAACAACCAGTAGATGACAATGTTAATATATGGGCGATAATTGGACCAATCATAGCCATTGTTGTCATTGTCGTCATCATAGGTAAATATTTCCTCATAATATTTTCTCTAATAAATCTAAACCTTTTTTAAAATGGGAGCTTAATTATTGAATACAAACACATTTCCTTCATGAAATCTAATTTCTCACGATATTATTTCTGTTTTTAGCGTATTTTCATTTCATTTCTTTTCACAAAGGAGTTTAATTATCAAAGTAATTTTAAAATGTATTCATTTATGAGGATGTGTTAGTGTGGGCTATCAAGTGACAAGAAGTAAGGCCGACCTTGTGGTTTTCTCATATTGAAAAAAGATATGATAATTCTGGGCGACCTTCGGTTGCACGGATTTTCGTACTATAGTTCAACCTGTGGTCGTGACCAGCCATACGATAGAGCATGGTCGGGATAGTACAGTCAGACTGTAGTCGCAACAATAGTCTACATCCGAAGGTCACCCTGATGGACCCCATTATTTCTCTCTCTTGTTAACTTGTGTATCACGCTTGAAAATTTCAGTATTTATATCTAATAATACCTTACATAATCCTCTTTTCCAGTTGCCGTAGTTTTCTTTAGAATGGCCAGAAAGAAACGTGCGACTAGAGGACAGTATTGTCCAAGTCAACAGGAGAACGCCGGTGCTAGAGTAGAATTAGGAAATGTATTAAAGAAACCGCCCCAAGAAAGACTCATATAGACAATTATTTATAAATTTAAATTATGCAAGAATTATTAATTTAATTTGTAAAAGTGCTTTTCTCGTCATATAAATGAATGGTGATCAAGATCGTGTGATAGAAATTTGGACTAAGAAACAGAATTAAGACGGTCACTACATAGTCATGATCATCATGTCAAGTGTGATCAAGACCAAAAGTAAACACTTTGTGAGTTTCATTGGTATGATGAACGTGCTGTGATCAAAATATCACTTCAAGCCAAGAGTGATTGCCGTGATTAAAGGTTGCCATTGTTCTAGTGTTGATAAAAGGATTGGATTAGACATATTATATAAACTGTGTTTTAGAATGAACAAGATCTGGGAAGTTATCCTTCCTCAAAACTAGAAGTTATCATTCCTTGGAACAAGCGGTTATCATTCCTTGGAACAACAAGTTATCATTCCTTGGAACAAGCGGTTATCATTCCTCGGAACAACAAGTTATCAATCCTTGGAACAACAAGTTATCATTCCTTAGAACAAGAAGTTATAATTCCTCAGAACAAGAAGTTATAATTCCTTAGAACAAGAAGTTATCCTTCCTCAGAATAAACTATCCACATGATGATAAAAATCATGGCTATGTTAATCGAATCATCTTCACGGTAATTGTTAATATGATAGAGAATTATTTTAAATGGTGGGAAGAATTAGATATTGATATCGTATTGTCCAAGATAATTTGATGTAAGATGTGAATTGTAACGAATATCCACTTCCGGATATATCGACCGTGTGAATCAACATCTAATAAACTATAGCAATTAATGAAAATGTATCAGTGACTGTATTTCTAAAGTATTTTTGATTGCAACTATTGTGCTATTATATCTTTAAGCCTTCGGTCACATGTGAATCGATCATTTTTTCTAATATACAATTTATAATGGAGAGATCTGCTTTCTTGAAATCTTCATTTATAATCTTAATGAATTCGGAATCGTTAGGCCACCATCTGGGTTTTATTCATGGAAACTTAAATCTTTTATACTGGATACCAACTGACACTCGATACTTGTTAACCACTGGGGGAGGAGGGGTGGGGGTGGATTGCCGAATGGTTAGTACGTTTTATCATAAGGTATGTCATTGAGTCAACTGTCGTTGTTTCGATTCCCTGGTTGTACGTGACAAGGAGTAGGGTCGCCTGTCCAACCTCATGAGTTTTCTCCCGGTCCTTCGGTATCCTCCCACAGTTAAAGACCCCTATGCACTAGTGAATTATTGAACTATATGTTAGTCCCGAAATGACCTGGTTTGTGTATAGTGGATGTTAAACTCTATTTCTCTCTGTCTCATCCTTGAGGAATTAAAGAAATTTTATAACTCATCTTATGGGTTAAATATCTCATATTTTGATGGCTAGCAACAAGTGTTCGATATTAGGGGAAAAATATGTCAATTCAATGAAGATTTAAGTTTTTGACAAATAGGACTACCTTTTTATTTTTTGCATGTACAGCTATAAAATGGATTACAAGAAATGAATCAGTCATTCTTTAAGTTTAGCTAATGATAAATTATTTGTTTAGTTGTTGTGTATGTACGTTCAGGGAATCGGCTTGTTTCATTAGTTTGTATATTTTGTATATTATATCATCTGGTTATAATGGAAGGATAATGTGAGTCCCACGTAAAACAAACTGTGCAATAAGTAATATACCATCTTTCACAAGTTTACATATCATATACTAATAGACAATACAGTCCTCACTGCTCAACAAAATATAAAACAAACGGTACATAAATACAGCACAGACATTCCAAAATGTGAAATGTGAATAAAGCTGTTAGCTACATGAACCTACCATAGATGATTTTAGCGGCAAATATGGTGAATTTAATGCCAATGAAAATTGTTTCAGATAAACACTTAATGGGTTGTGACCCTTAATCACTTTTTAGCATATGGACTGCTCCTACTACTTAGTGACAGTGGTTGTATGTTTCGGTGTTTACCTATCTTTAATAAGATGCACTATTTTATATGAAAATTTTAAAAAAGAACAAAAATTATTGCTTTTATAGAATTCAAAATGATCGATTGAGTTTCTCATGTCATCTTTACTACCTTTACACATTGTTGTGTTATAACGTCTGTCCTGACCTATGAAAAACAAAAAAAAAGGATTTGTCAAGTTTTTATTCAAAACATTCCTTCAATAATCCGGCCAATTTTACCTAAAGTGTCTATTTGTTAATTAAGTTGTGTCAAGTGCCTCGTTTATTTTATCATTTATATTTTTGGTGAAATATGCAGTTGTGAAATATATTTAGCTAAATATGAATCTGTGATATTAATAATGGAGAAAATTTAATTTCCTTCAGAGTTACTACAGTACATGTACCAAGACGATCTGATTCAATTTAAAATATAAGAGTTGTGCTAATAATTTATATTCTTTTTAAATTTGAAATATAAACAAAGAGAGTATTGATCATAATGTCATATAATTGAAAAGATATTTTAACATAGATTGTGCATTATGTTAATCTTCCATTAAATATGCTCATTATAGTTATATTTATTTCCATCAATATTTCCATTACTATATACATATTTAACGCTCATATCAAAGACAATTTAATTTCCACTGACTGTTTTCATTCCACAGGTTTATTTTAACATACATTATGCAAGAGCTAAAAGGAATTAATTAACGGTTTTGTTAATAAAAAAAAAGTTGTATTCCTGAAAACATATCTTGTTGCCATCCAATTAAATTTTTACGATCTAATTATGATATATATGCACAGTTTTTATACAGCATGATGCATTTTATAAAGCATTAATATTTTTATATCTATCATCACATCTCCTTTCATTTTATATAAATTCATATAATATTATTATATATAGCTTAACCATTTTGTATATAAATCCTATATATTATTTTATATAATATTATTATATAGGTTAATCATTTTGTATATAAATCCTATATATTATTGTTAATAGCATTATATTTTATAGATGATTATAATATACTATGTCATACCTGTATTATTATATACTATGTCATACCTGTATTATTATATAGTATGTCATACCTGTATTATTATATATTTAATATATACTGTATATATATTATATACCACAGATTAGATTGTATATAGACATACCATGGATTATAATTAGCCTAATTATTCAGCATCATACACAATTTAATAGGTCTGTTTATATAAATCTTTTACTTCAATATTAATGTATAGAGCTATAATTCTTCTAAATCGGCAAGAAATGTTGTTTTTTTATAATATTACTGTGTTTTCATTGACTGAAAATTAACCCAGCACAGGCCCGTAGCTAGCGGAGGAATGGGGGGGCAAGCCCAACCAATGTCACTCGGTTTTATGGGGAGGCCATACTGATATGGGCACGTTGGTCTTTGGCTTCGTATTACGTCCAATGGAAAGGTCGCTGTTCGGCCTGCAGCATGTATGTTACCTCAAATATGGTATATCTTAAGTTAAGTAGGCTTACCGTCGAGAAAAAAACAAACCTTTCTAGTTACCAGTGCTTGTACCAATTCTATCCATGACATATAACGACTACCTTTATTGATTCATTCATGCATTACATTCATTGTAAAAAAAACCTGTGTTCTCTCAAATTCCAGGTAGAGCACACACAAACAGTAACTTATTAAAATCACACAAAAGGTTTTAGTAGTCAGTAAAATGTTAATCCATTCTAGTAACTTATTCAAATGAGATAAATCTTTAATAAACAAATTTATAATGGAATATTTATCACTTTTCAGATAAATTTTTATTTTGTGGCATATCAATTTTATTCAGATCTTTCTATTCGTAATTCATATATATATTAAAAAATCTTATATTATCGTTTTTTACATATTATCATATCTTTCTATTCATAATTGAATTATATAAAAAAATCTTATCGTTTTTTCAATCATATCAAAGTTTATTTATACTAGTGTTTTTCTCGTAAGACAGATGTTTTACCAGATTGTTTCTCTTTAATAATGTATAAAAATTTTGTATATGTGTAAATAATTTTGTTATATTTACTACTCAAATTACAAAAAATCAATAAAAAATGTCAAAGATTAAGTTGGTGTTTTTTTTTTGCTCATATTTAATGTGGTTGTATATTGTCATCGCTCTGTCTGTCCATCCGTCATTCTGGAGGATCTGACACGGCCAGCTGTCTAGTCGTTCGGATGAAATGAAAAACCGAGGTCCCGTGTATACATTGCCGTGCACGTAAACGATTTTTTGACAGTTGGAATTCGATATAAGAGTAGGCCGTAGTATATAGCACTGCTACCCGGCCAAAATTTCCATCATAACAAACTCTTAACGTATGCCCATCTTCATTAGCCCAGTCGGAGCATAACAGTAGGATGTTAAATCCCATTTCATTTCATTTCCATCCACATTTGCTTATTAGCACAATAACTATTCAGACAACACAGCTGCTGGTTTACATATATTTTATTGCCTAGCAACCTATATTTAAAGGTGTCATATTATCAGACGAGAACGTCTTCATCAACGATTAAAAGTATTCTTCTCACTAGGTGTTATTTGACTGTCCATTCCACATGCTTGGTAGTTATATTCTGTTAAGCATTGTAACTACATGGATTACATTGAGGTAAAATTTAAAGGAGCTAAGTCGCTAATATTTGGGACCTAGAAATTGACAAAAATGGGTCGCAACGAATATAATAATGTAATATGAATGTATATAAACTGATTTACATTCAATCGTTTCTGTTTTTACTGTAATTTCTAATCATTTCTGTTCGTCGAAATATGCCAGAAGTCTCAATCGAATGGCAATCTCTGGCAAAAATTGAGCTGGCCTTAACAAATAGATTTCGCCCCCTTTAGATTGTTCAGGATTTTAAAATAGTTGTTTTATGAACCGTATCTGATTTTCACTTCATCTGATACAGGTGATTATCTAACATCATTTTTATATTCATAAATTTCTTTTCAATGTCGAAGACTTTGGATGATATTGAGTTAGAGACTTAGCTACTTTAAGCTTGATCATAAGATCTGACATAGATGCAAAGATTTTGGGACTAACATATGGTTCAATTTCATTTTAATAAGTCGCTTGTGAATAGGGGGTCTGTAGCAGTGGGAGGAAACCGGAAGACCTGGAGAAAACCCACAATGTTGGACAGGCGACCCTACTCCTTGTCACGTACAACCTGGGAATCGAAACCACGCCAGCTGACTCAATGACAGACCTTATGATACAGTGTGCAAGTGCTAACCATTCGGCCATCCAACCCCCCACACAGGCTTTAGCAAATTCAGAAGAATATTTTAGACCATAGCCAGGATTTTTGTAACTAACAAAAGAAAATGAATCAGTGGGGCCCAACAAAAGGGGGAACCATTTTCTAAGATCTTGAGTGAACTCTAGGCTGACCTTTTAATCATTATGAGACTAACTTAGTAATTTGAATAATGTGCAATGTAAGGGAGATGTATTTTATTCTGAATAGTAGCATCAAATTTAAACTTTCTACAATCTGATTAAAACACAGATCTATATTTTGTTTCGTTTTTTATACTTTCGATGGCCTACACTACATGTAGTAAAGACAAGTAAAAATTTTGAACTATAAAAACGAAACAAAATTGGATCTGTGTTTTAATCAGATTGAACTTTCTAGGGATTATTTTATGTGCATGTTGACCTAGTGTTTTATTCAATTCAAACGAGTAAGCAGAAAACTTATATAAATTGTTTTGTTTTTTTCGGTGCGGTGACATTGAGATATATACCACCGATCAAGACTTACACAAGAATAATAGTCAATGTTTGGGAAATATTTCCCTTTTTCATAGATTGTCTCCCTTCTTATGACTTTGTTTTCATCTTGGGGGTGTTCGATTGTCAGTCTAGAACGTCCAGGGTCCAGTTTCTCAAAATTTTAACTAAAGATAAAATCCAATGTTTCAGCTATCATGGTTGGTGAAATGAAATGAAATGGGGTTTAACGTCCTACTGTTCTGCTCCGAACTGGGCTAATGAAGACGGGCATACACCATACAGTGTGCTATGAGGGAAATTTTGCCCTGACAGCGGCACTACAGCCTACTGTTATATCGAATTCCAACTGTCAAGGGATGTTTTATGTGCATGCCAATGTGTACACGGGACTTCAGTTTTTCGTACCATTCGCACGACTAGACAGCTGTCCTTGTCAGGCCCCCCGTCCTGCATCACTGACAAGGGGGATATTATGGTTGGTCGATATATTTTCATATGCAGTGGGTGCATGCGTTCTAGCCTCAAATCGGCATGTTCACTCATTGTCACTATATTTGGGTTTGACAGAGTTAAATTCCAGAACATTCACTCGAATATCCCCTGTGAGTGAAGCCTTTATGACTACAGGTTCAGGTCTGTACAGTCAGGTCAGGACTGTAGCAGGGTATTGGATATTTACAACCAGCTCCCGGGATCTAATCATTTGACTTAACAGTACTATTTTGTTTATTTCTGCGTGTTAAGTCTTGATGCATCATCTTAAGCAATAAGAGGAAATGAAATGAAATGGGGGTTTAACGTCCTACTGTTCTGCTCCGACTGGGCTAATGAAGACGGGCATACGCCATACAGTATGCCTTATGATACAGCCCGCACGCGCTAACCATTCGGTCATCCAAACCCCCCCCCCCTACCCTGCAATGTGTGCAAGGAAGTGAAAAACCTCGAATGGTTGTCCTTGGATACTAAATAAGAATCCAGAGGCCTGTCTACTCAGCCCCCACCCATTTAGTGGATCACAATGCACTCAAAACTTCACTTAAAGTAGCTAAGTCTCTAACTCAATATCATCCAAAGACATTGAAAAGACAAAATATTTGTTAATTTAAATCAACATTGATGTTGTGATCTTACCGCGAACAGACAAGCTTCTGATATCTAATATTTAAGAAAAAATAAACATAATGCGTTTCAGTGCTATTTTGGATAACAAGGGACTCGAAGAACGAGGTTAGACATATTCCACTAGTCGTGTCAAACTGTGATGCCACATTCTAAACTACAAAGCATGCGCAAAAAATACTACCGGTGTAGACTGGAATAACCAGACACTAGAAATTGCCATTCGATTGAGACTTCTGGCGTATTTCGCTGAACATAACTGATTTGAAATTAAGAGTAAAAATAGAAATGATTGAATATAAATCAGTTTATATACATTCATATTACATCATGATATACATTACGACCCATTTGTGTCAATTTCTAGGTCCCAAATATTAGCGAATTAGCTCCTTTAACTGTCAAGGCAGCAACAAGAAAATGCATCCATTTTTGCACTCTTATACTATGTGTCAAGTTGCTACTTCAGGTGAGGGCAATGGTAAATTTTGTTTTTTATTTATTCAGAAAATTTTAAATTTTATATAAAATTATATAAACACAGACTTAGATTTAAATGATTACACTAATAAAATTTCATATAACTTTTTAATTTGAACCATAACCTGTATGTAATTCCAATAAAACGGTTAAACATACATTATGCAAGAGCTAAATCTGTCTATTGCAGTTCTTTCATTAGGCCTGAAATGTTATCTAAATTATTAATTAGACATTAATTAACTTATCTGGTCCATAATCAACTCTCGATGGCATCGCTAGCCTGCGATCTTTAGTCGATTATGAACCGATTTACTGCTTAACTTTCCTTCACGATTTAACGATTAAATGGATAATCGAGACTATGCTGTTTATCGTACTGACTTTAGGCGGAAATTATAATCGCTTAGTTCTCGGTTCATAGTGGATCAATTTGAATGAAATTTTCAGCAAATTGCCTTCACATTATCTAGTTTTTACCTAGTATAGTGAGAACTGCCAACGCGTTATCGAATCTCCCATAATGTATCTTTAATACATTGTCCTATGTGTTGATACCATTTGAATTCAGCTTCATTACTGCTTTATAGAATACCTCAGTATCAAATAGAAATATAAAGTCTAGTTAGCACAATACTTTGACACTAAGGTCACACAAAAAATAGCCTGGTTCTCAGATACCAACGAGTCATCAAAAATAGACTGTGTCACACTTTTCTATTTTATGGGTCTTTAGCAGTGGGAGGAAACTGGAGGACCCGGAGAAAACCCACGGGGTTGGACAGGCGACCCTACTCCTTGTCACGTACAACCGGGGAATCAAAACCACGCCAGTCGACTCAATGACAGACCTTATAATACAGCACGCACGTGCTAACCATTCGGCCATCCAACCCCACCTTATAAGACAGATTTAACAGACACCAGAAGACCTGAGAATACTTGTATCTTATTCTGTAATTAATCATGATTTAACATCATGTACTATTTGTAAATAATGTTTGATATACCTGAAGATAGTACAATATACAATCTCTCTGATCACAACCATGATATACAACAATATTTACTAACACTAACAGTTACACCACAGAAAGTTATCAATTTCAGTTCGATTTACATACTGTACTGTGCTCCTTTGTTTTACGGCAGGACGGAGGGCCTGACTAAGACAGCTGTCTAGTCGTTTGGATGAGACGAAAAACCTAGGTCCTGTGTACACATTGGCATGCACATAAAAGATCCCTTTACAGTTGGAATTCGATATAAGAGTAGGTCGTAGTGCCGCAGTCTGGGCAAAATTTCCCTCATAGCCCACTGTATGGCGTATGCCCGTCTTCATTAGCCCAGTTCGGAGCAGAACAGTAGGACGTTAAACTACATTTGTATTAAGGATTCTATATTTGAGGGATGTTTTTATCAGAGAAAATAAACATCAGATTTGAGAAACAAAGATCTCCTAATTCGAAATTGATGGACTCGATCTAAATTGCGTTTTGTGACAACTAAAATAATTTGAATGTATTTTTTTTTTTTTGCAATTTTATATATTTAATTCATTCATATTTTATTTACAATTTATTAAAATCCCGGAATGATTCGGCCACGTTTAATCATTAGTTTTTTCTTTTTGTCCTTTTTGCCTTGTTTTCGTTTATCAAGATTACGTTCACGTTTATCTTGTTTCGCTTGTTTTTTCTGCGTCACTGTCTTTTGACGATCATCCCACTTCTTTTTATTTTTCTCTTTCATTTTTTCTTTTCGTTTTATCGCATTTTTTAGTAAATGGGGATCATCCTTGACCTTTTCACCTTCGGCTTTACTAACAGCAACATTCCATTTATCTTTTTCTTCCATATCTTTTGCTGCCTTTTCGTCTTTCTGCCGAAGTTTTTCGAATTCACTTTTCTTGCGTTCAAGTTTTTCAAGCAGTTTTTTGTAGTCTTTGCCTATCAAACCAGTTTTGGACTTCTGTTTTTTCTTTGTCTGTGAAAAGTCAAACTTACTGAAGACCATTTTGCCTTCTTTGTCGTAAACTGGTTTTGCACTATTTTGTGGGGGAGAACCTAATCGCGTCGGTGCGTTAGGATTTTTAGCGTTAAAATCTTTCTTAACGTTATTCTTCATTTTTCTCCGTAATTTTTTTTCTTGTTGTTTTATCTGTCGTCTGGTTTTTCTTTCTTCTTGCGTCAAACTTTTTCTGTTACCTAAAAAAGGACAAAAACATTTCATATTTTATATTTAACAATTAAAACCTACAGACCAACCGTGATAAGCAAAATAATGATCACACAAATAATGATTTTTGTGATTCGAATATTCAATACCGCTTTGAGTCAGTACGTCAGTTATCTTCCCAACCGGAGATATATAGTCGAGTTCTGGTAATATTATAAGAGACAAATTTTATTCAAAATTTTAATTGTATATACATATGTAGTCTATCATATACTATGTTTTAAATATTTATATATGTAAAGGATTTGATATATTTGTTTTTAAATTATACTTTCTGTGATATTTGTTTTTATTTACATATATAAATACATTTCTTTGATAATGTTTTAATTTGTGTCGTCAAATTCACCATATGTTTGGTTTGGCGCTATATAGCCAGGTTGGAGCTGACGTGCCATAAAACTCCATTTCATTTCATTTTAAATAATCAAGGTGCATATTCAAATTTTAACAGATCTTTTTTTTTTAATTCATGATAAATACCAGACATTCTGAATCCTAATTGAGATAATCCAGAACAAAAAAAGAGCAAGAAAGGGATTATTCATTCAGCTTTTAAATCTAGCTGATGTCACAGTGCTAAGGCGTTGGCTCGCTATCATGGAGGTCCAGGTTTTGATCCCAGTGTTGGCCGAGAAATGGACCAGTGTCTAGTCCTTCAGATAGGACAAAAAAATTGAGGTCATCTATACATGTTGGCATGCACATAAAGAACTCTTGACAGTTGCAAGTTGACAAACAGGGGTGAGAAATTGACTGAAAGGTGATTTAATTATTTAACTTACCTTTCATTGCATCCAGTTTTTCATGTAGTTTTTGTTGTAATAATTCCATATTTGTGATGGAATTCCTGAACTCGACTTCATTCTGTTTATTTTGCTTCTTAGTTTTCTTGTTCTGTTTATTATTCATTCCTGAGATAAAAAAAAATCAGCTTGATTAATAACATGAAAAAATGAGCTCCAACATCCAGGGCTTATTGTTGAACATGACAAAACATTATTTTACGATTTAAAGACTCAAAATCTCCTGATGTCAAGCTGATTAAAACACAGATCAGATTTCGTTTCGTTTTTTTTTATAGTTCAAAATTTTGTTTTATATGTCTTTATTACACTAGGATCTAGAAGAGTTGTTATATAACCCTCGTTCTGGATGATGTGGGGGATTAGCCAATGAAACGTTCTGTTACGGTGAGTTTTTAGCGCTGAGGTACACAGAACTGTGGGTAACCCACTAGAAACATCAACACTGATTGGTTAATCAAATATCTGATGTCATAGGGTCAAAAGCCGCTCATATGACCTCTGACACGACCTTCCGCTACAATGGTCAGATCTTCATGTAGTGTAGGCCATTGAAAGTATAAAAAAACAAAATGGGGTTTAACATCCACTTAAATTAATACAACTAGTTCATTTTGGGACTGAAATACAGTATTTCTCCGATTAGATTAAAGATACATTATGGGAGGTTAGATAACGAGTTGGCAGTTCTCACTATAATAGTTAAAGATAGGTTGCCAGGCAACGAAACATACGCCCACAGCAGCTAAATCGTCCGGGCAGTCAACAAGAGTTGTTGCATATTTTTACTTTTTTCGGTAATGAAACATTTATAATACACTAAAATCTGATTAAGAGCAACAATTCAGAAAACCATTAGAATTTGTTTGGTTTTTATAAAGTTCTGCCCCATGCTAATGTTTTGTATACAAAACTTTTAATACTGTATCATGGATTTAGCTGTTCCAAATTCATTGAAAATCAATGTACTTGTTCGTCTCAAGATCATAAACACTGTGTATCAATCTGAAGTCAATCGGATATTAACTTTGGCCTCTAGAGCGTCCACAAGATTTTTCAAAGTGATCAAGGGCCATAACTTTGGCAGTAATTATCAGAAAGCTTTGAAAATCAATAGGATTCTTCGCCTCGTGACCTCAAACACTGTTTATAAATTTAAAGTCAATCTGATATTAACTTTAGCCTTTAGAGCATCCACAAGGTTTTTTTAAGTGATCAAGGGCCATAACTTTGGCAGTAATTATCGAAAATCACTGAAATTGAATAGACTTCTTCGTCTCATGACCTTAAACACTGTGTATAAATTTAAAGTCAATCGGATATTAACTTTAGACTCTAGAGCGTCCACAAGATTTTTCAAAGTGATCAAGGGCCATAACTCTGGCAGTAATTATCGGAAATCGTTGAAAATCAATAGGCTTCTTCGTCTCATGGCCTTAAATACTGTTTATAAATTTAAAGTCAATCGGATATTAACTTTAGCCTCTAGAGCGTCCACAAGCAATTGTGGACGCCGGATGGCAGGACGGACGGACGGGGGCGACGACAATATACGACCACATTTCAATGTGGGCGTATAAAAACTAGATAACGTAAAGGCAATTTGCTAAAAATTTCATTCAAATTGATCCACTATGAACCGAAAACTAAGCGAATGAAATGTCTGCCTAGCCTCGGTCATCATTACTAAAGTCGGTAGGATAAAAAACAGTCTCGTTTATCCATTTTTTTGATTTAATTATGAATGGAAGTCGAAAAGCAAATCGGATCCTAATCCAATAAATATCGCAGGTTAGCGATGCCATCGAGAGTTGATTATGGTCTGGATAAGTCAATAAATGTCTAATTAATAATTTAGATAACATTTCAGGCCTAAAGAAAGACCTGCAATATACAGATTTAGCTTTTGCATAATGTATGTTTAATACAATCCCATACTAAATTCACAATCAATTCCACACAAACTATTGAATAAATAACAACCCTACCACTATGTTCCATTTTATCTAAATGTTCTTGTATTTGTGATACAGTTTTTGTCTGGAACATATCACCACCGTGACCTCTTTTCGGTTTCTTCTTGAATCTTTTATTACCATCTGTAAAAAGAAAATAATCAACATCAGGACATATACAGCTTTTGATGAAATATTCGATGACTAGGTTCAGTTTTATATCTTAAAATATATAGCGAAACCACAGGAGTTTCAATAAGGAGTATTCTTGTTTTTCCAGTTCTGGAAATCACATATTCATTTTTCCAGGATTTTCAAGGAGTGTGCGAACCTTGGAAAGAAATATTCTGGTTCTTAGACAAACACTACAAAAAATCTGATGCAAAAGAGATTTATTTTATTTTGTCAAAGGATCACTACTTGGCTAAATGACTTCTATGCACAACAAATTGTTGTTTGTAGGAATGTATGATTTTCCAGTATCATTTAAGATTGTCAGTATCAATTAGCAGGGTTGTGTACTGGATTAAATAGAACAGAATTGTAGCACATAAAATCTGCTCCTCAATCTTTAATATCAAAGAAACTTTAGTTTACTTATTACTGTAAAGTTTATATCGCTCACTTTTAAATATGTGCCACAATAAGATATAGCTTGTCATTTAATGTTCATGTCATTAATAGTAATCAAACAGTAGTCATTAACTAGGTGTTATGTCACTAAGGTTTTATAAAACCATGACTATTAAATGATAAACACCACTATTGTCCAGGTTTGTGTATTCAATAGTGATGGGTGTTATAATTAGTCCCGCTTTTACACCTGTAGTGCTATATTTTATATTTTACAACTAGTTAAACACCTACTAATTAATTACAACTGTATAATTTCTAACCACTTTCGTACTAAACATTAGTTTAGGAACAATACTGACTTGTTTAATTTAAAAATAAACAATTGGACTAGTAATCATTTACTATATAACTAATCATAAAACACTTCTATTTCATTCCTAAATGATGTGAAGAGTGTCAATTTCAACTGTTGCTTCCATGTACCTTTTCTCAAATTCAAAAAATATAATTGTTATGAATACATTTTATATACTCATACCTTGATCTTCATCATCAGAATCATGTAAAATCTTGCGTTTTAAATCGGCACCGAAATAGGCTGATGGTGGAATTAAATCTAGGATATTTTTAAAGAATTTATTATCTTCTTCACTGGTTGATTGTGAAGGTTTCGTATCCACACTCATTGTGTCAGTTTTTCTGCAATAAAACAAACAACAGAAATAAATCATTTATATTCACCCATGAGAGAGACAGAGATAGATAGAGAGAGAGAGAGAGAGAGGGGGTGTTTAAAGTCCACTCGACACAAACTAGATCATTTTGGGACTAACATATGGTTTTAATTTTATTCCAATAATTTGCTTGGGCGTAGGGGTCTTTAGCAGCGGGAGGAAACCGGAGGACCCGGAGAAAACCCACGAGGTTCGACAGTCGACCCTACTCCTTGTCACGTACAACCGGGGATTCGAAACCACGCCAGTTGACTCAATGACAGGCCTTATGATACAGCGCGCGCGTGGTAACCATTCGGCCATCCAACCTCCCGACCCATGAAAGATCGATCATTTGAAAAAAATTAGTCTGTTTTACATTCTTAAAAGGTAAGAATGTATAACTGAAGAATTTAATTTTTTCAAAGATTCTAATTATTTCCCCCTGGTTATAAATTTCATTTTGTCTTTGTCTCTGATTTTCTTAAATTTCTACTGCAATGGCACGTTCCAAGGGGGAAGCAGACCAGGAAATCATGTTGAACTTCCTACAAACACATGGATCGAACACGGGACTTCCAGGTTAGCAAGCCAAACGTTTTACTCACTGAGCTACCCTCGCTCCCCAATCTCTAACTAATCCTATGATTGATTGTGACAAGTGAACCATTTGTTTACAAGTTGAGCTTCATTCTAAATTTTAAGTATCAGTACATTCAGGCAATCTAGCTGTGGAAACCAAGTTCGTTGGCCTGTAGCTGCAAATATGTAACCTCGGCATGGTCTCTCGGCTACAATTGGTAGGCCTACATTCATTGATAATTTACACAAGTAAATATAGCCTCAAATACTTTTATCACAAACAATGAAGTACATGTATGAACAATTAAAACAGTCAACGAACATTTGCTTTTTGAGGTAATGCGTTTTACATTTTCGAAACAATATTTTTTATACATACAAGTGGTCATGACATTAAAATCTCGAGCAGACGTTGGATTTTTCTAAATCATAGAATTATGTGGTAAAGTTTTAGTTTCACGTTTATGTTTTATATGTGGTTTAGTTAATTAATATGTTAGCTACGTGTAGAACCTTTTCAGTTTTTGGGCCAGATTAATTGGAAAATGAGTTGTTATATTTTTGTCATCAAATGATCACAAAACCTGCGCAAACGAAGGCCTTTGAACCACCCACTAATGTGACTGGAGTCAAAGACTAAGACATCACTAGTGGAGCCTTTTCTAGTTGGTTTTATGATGAAGCCAATGGATACAGGATGGCATTAGGAATATTAGGCCTACTATGGAACTCCACTTCAGAAAACAAGTGTCTTCCTACATTTTTTACATTACAATCGCCTTTTATTTCAAGGCCAATACTTACCGACACATTTATCTACTTTATGTAAAGAAGATGAGTGTTTTAATAATGAATAACTTTTACGTGATTAAATGATTATTTCACAACGATTTTTAATTTATTAGCAACATCTTGCACGTGTTGTAAATGGTAAACATCTACAGCGCCACTATTCAACCGAGAAAGGTAACTCCCAGACAAAGATTTTATTAAAAAGAGTTGCTTCCCTTACATCGTCAAACATAACGGTGAGATCTAATTGATAAGGCCAACTTCAAGTTTGGCCAAAGGTCACGAGGTGTAAACATGGCTAGTGCTAATTCCAACCCCAGCCCTAACCCTGGACCTAGCCCCAATGCTTACCCTAACGCTAACCTATAATCTCCCTAACAAGCATTTGCCCTGCCTGGCCTTATTTACATCTCAGCGACCTTGACGTAAATTGAGCTGGCCTTAACAAATAGATTTATCCCTAAGGCCCACGTGATTCAAGTGGAAGGCGGAACCTGCTACCTTTGTTGACATGTTAGTGACAGTTGAATGTTTAATTTATTTTAGTAACTGAGAAAGTCTCTTGTCTTGTTCAACAAATGCAGACGCATTTAGCTTCAAGTTCAGCTACAGAAAAATACTGATTTGCAAAGTAAGTATTTCGTTGTCTATACTCGTAATAAATGTGCAAAAAATGTGTGACAGAGAGCGTCTTTATCTTTATGAATACTATTACAGGCCTACCAGTGAGTGTCAGACAGACTAAATTTCAATTCAATGCAATGTAGAAGGCTTTGCCAGTAGAAATAGGAAATATTAAATTGACTCATTCTGACTGATGTCATTGCAAGATTCAATAGGTGTGTGTCACAGAACTGAACGTTTTTTTTTTTGGCAGTAAATTTAGGCACAACATGCAGGTACTAAATTAAATTTTACATTTAACGTGTTAGTCTTAAAATGGTGAAGTTAATAAGGTAACAAGACATGAATGAAAATAAAACCAAAGTGGTTAGATCGCATAATATGACTGTATTGAGTTGAATATTCAGATGTAGGCTATATATTTATATCGTTGAATATCCGGTTGTCAAACTTTTCAATCATTCAATGTCTATGGAAGCGATTTTACATAAACAGCAGTGCTTGTTACTGTACCCATTAAGTAATAAAATATGGTTTAATGTAAACTAAATTAGTCACCAAATAGTCAGCATATACATATATAGGCCTATATCTACTGCAGGTAGACCTATTATTCAAATTCATACATGTAGCAACTACCTGATGGGGTCTAGATACTAGTCCAACTCTTAACATGTCTCGTTACACTTGCACTGTACGTTCGGAAACGGGCCTATTGACTCCTTGTTGAGACTTTTTAACTCCCCAATAAAAACAACTTTTTACTGACAAACGGTCAATTGGAATTTCCCTCTGTCCGGGCAAAATTTCCCTCATAGCTCACTGTATGGCATATATGCACACTTTCATTACCCAGTCAGAGCAGAACAGTAGGATGTTAAACCCTATTTCATTTCATTTTAAAATAGACAAATTTAAGAACGTCTATGACACAAAAACGTAAAAGAATTATTTGGCCCTTGGGGGGGTGGGGGGGTCAAATTGGGTGAGTTGGGGGGGGGGATAATTAATCCCTTTCATTTTAGTTTTAAAAGGTAGGCAAAGCAATATATGACTGAGAGTATTATTAGGGAAAGAGAGATAGAGTCAAGCGATATATTGGATTATTGCGGTATCAAGAAAAATATTGTCAATAAAATTTACATATTCCGATATATTGATTTATAAAAGTTATTGTCCAGCTCTAGTTAAACACAAAACTTATGCCTCAATACAGCTCTGTCGAGTATGGATTTATGATGTATGAATTCTGACATGAGCAATCTGATTTATACTTTGTTTCAATGACTAACAATAATCTTTGAGAGAATATTGTTGGAGGAATGGCGATAATCTAGAGTCAAATGATATATTGGATTATTGTGGTATTTTTAATGGTAAAAAAAATATTGTCAATCAAATTTACATATTGCAATATCTTGTTCAGCCCTACTTCATATATGCCTATAGCTTTGAATTATGCAAATTAGGTGTATTTTGTTTCTCTTGTACAGAGCGGAAAACTGCAATTGGTACATACCACCATTTGTGAGCCTCAGTGACAAAGCAAATCTCCAGGTTCTCTGGTTTGCTCAAACTGCTAAAGAGTCTAAAGACCCCTACGCGCAAGCAAATTATTGAAATAAAATTAAACCATATTTTAGTTCCGAAATAACCTAGTTTTTGTTAAGTGGAGGTTAAACTCTCTCTCTCTCTCTCTCTCTCTCTCTCTCTCTTTCTCTCTGTCTTTCTCTCTATCTCAGGGGGGGGGTGGTGGCCGAATGGTTAGCACGTAGGTGCTGTATCATACGGCCTGTCATTGAGTCAACTGGCGTGGTTTCGAATCCCCGGTTGTACGTGACAAGGAGTAGGGTCGCCTGTCCAACCTCGTGGTTTTTTTTCCGGGTCCTCCGGTTTCCTCCCACTGCTAAAGACCCCTACGCGCAAGCGAATTAATGAAATAAAATTAAACCATATGTTAGTCCCGAAATGACCTAGTTTGTGTCGAGTGGACGTTAAACCCCATCTCTCTCTCTCTCTCTCTCTCTTCTCTCTCTCTCTCTATCTCCCCCATCTCTCTCTCTCTCTATCTCCCCCATCTCTCTCTCTATCTCCCCCATCTCTCTCTCTCTCTCTCTCTCTCTCTGGGTGGCAGAAAAATAGGATGTTAAACACACTATTTCATGAAATCTACATGACAGACTTACTTCCCTTCTCTAACAGCTGTGTTTATTGGTCTACATAACAATACAATATTGATTGATAAATGTTTGCTATAAACTTGCTATTTTTATTTTCTAATCATTTCAAAATATTGATGTAGTAGAACAGATTTATTGCATGGGGTGTAAACTGTTGTCATGATTTATTAGTAGGATGTAAACTGTTGTCATGCTATATTTATACACCCATATTTAAAGTAGCTAAGTCTCCAACTCAATATCATCCAAAATCTTCGACATTGAAAACACAAATTATTTGTCAATTTAAATCAACATTGATGTTGTGACCTTACGGGGAAAAGATGGGCTTCTGATATCCAATAATTAAGACAAAATAAATATTTTACCGTTGATTCGTGTACCATGGTGCATTTCACTTCAGCGCCATTTTTAACAAGGGACTCGTAGAAAGAGGCTAGATATAATCCACAAGTCATGTCAAACGGTGACGCCATATTCTTATCTGGAGAGCATGCGCAATAAATACTATCGGTATAGAGTGAAATAACCAGGCGCTAGAGATTGCCATTCGATTGAGACTTCTGGCGTATGTCGCCGAACATAACTGATTAGAAATTGCAGTAAAAACAGAAACGATTGAGTGTAAATCAGTTTATATACATTCACATTACATTATTACATTTGCTGTGACCCATTTGTGTCAATTTCTAGATCCAAAATATTAGCGACTTAGCTCCTTTAATGAGAACATATTTTTGTTGTCCCATTCATGTGTGAACACACTACAAGTCAGGATACATGGGGTCATAACAAAGAAGGAGCCACGGTGGCTAAGTGAGTAATAAGACATTAGCTCCCTAGCTTGGAGGTCCCATCTTAGATCCCTGCATTTCCCCTTCTCTCTCAGTGGTGCAGGACAAAGGGTCTGACAAGGACAGCGGTCTAGTCATTCGGATGGGACGATAACTTATGTCCCGTGTATACATTGGTTTGCACGTAAAAGATCCCTTGGCAGTTGGAATTCGATATAAGAGTAGGCCATAGTACTGCTGCCCAGGCAAAATTTTCCTCATAGCTTTGCACGTAAAAGATCCCTTGGCAGTTGGAATTCAATATAAGAGTAGGCCATAGTACCGCTGCCCAGGCAAAAGTTTCCTCATAGCACACTGTATATGTATGCCTGTCTTATTAGGCCAGTATAGGAGCAGAACAGTACGACGTTAAATTCAATTTCATTTCATAACAAATTCAGAATTCATAATTTTCAGTCCTTCACATTTAAGGGGAGCTTTTGTTCCTGCTCCTCTCGACGCACGTCGGCTTTCCTTTGAAGAAGTCATTAAAGACTCCTGCAAATTAGCTAAATCGCTCTCCTAAATATGGAGATTAATAAACTACTTTCAGAGTTTTTGTTTACTTTTAAACTACATATATTCAAGGTATCAGGAGCTTTTTATGGCTCCCTCACAATTTTATAAACATGAAGGACTGAATTTTTAATTACTATTCACAGAGTTATAAGAAAATTTTCTATAACTTGGTGATATGGAAGAATCCTATTGAATTTTTTAATCTTTGGATCCTAAATGTGGAAGATTTGTCTTTCATTCTGTTTTCATTTTTTAAATATAAACTTTGGGAATTATGGATTTTTTAAAAGTCTATATGACAGAATTTGTGGACAATGATTTTAGAGTTAACCTAGACAACCTTTCTGCTGGCGGGAGTATTAGAGGGACTGGTGTTACCTGTTGTTTTTATACAGGTACATGTATATAGGTATACGTTAATTACCTGTAGAAGTGTATATTGTTCAGTGACGTAGAAATGATGTATTATTAATAATGACGACTATGGAGATGACTAACTTCTTGATCTAAAATCAATATATAGACTGGCAACGCCTTGCAAGTATTTCTAGTCTACAAATACCTGCTCTTGTCTTAATGAAATTAGTTCAATGAATTTGATCAGGTATGTTTATCTTTTCTCATGTCGGATTGTATAAAGAAAGCTGTGGTAGGGGTGGGGGGGGCAGAGATGAGTTGCCGTTAAAACTTAGTTGATTGAGATATTCTCCCATTTTATGTACAAATACATTTGGAAGTAGCAGATGATATTTATGCCATGGATTACCAATATTTAAAGAGAATATCAACCTACAAATGTACACTTTCTCACCTTGTCACATGGCTTGCTCTTAAACTTCAAGGGGTGGGGAGTGAGAAATGAGTGATCCAATGTATGCTATAGATCATATAGGTTGTTATTGAACGAAGTGTTGGCAGCTCAATCACAGGAAAATATTGTCTGCCAGACATTTTCGATTTCCTCCGATATCTGTGACCTTTAGGAACTGACTCGGATCGAACGATGTCCGCTGACAGTTCCAATCCATCCCTACAGTGTATATTGCTGCAATATAAAAATACCGCTCATCTCCAAGGAGAGAACACCAAAATCATAACGAATATAACCCTGCAATATAAATACAATTGTTGATAAATATTTGTCGTTTATTAAAAACGAAAACAAATTAAAGAGTTTTGTAATCCACGTGCTGAAGGCGGTAATCATCATTTGGAGGAATTTCAATGTTTAAATATTGAACATTTAAAAAAATTCCATTTTCGCTTTTTTTTTGTGTGTGTAAACAGAAAGAATACATGTAATTATTATACAAGCAATACAGACATCCTAAGTCCAATTCTAAAATAACAGTGTTGGTTGTGCTACATTCCTGATAAACATTAAACTTTCTATAGGAACATATTTTCAGGGAATTGAAATGAAATTTAATTCATGTTCATTTCTATGGAGGATTCCAAAATCTCTGAAAATCAGT